CTTAGCACGCGTGTGCTAATGGGAATAAACGGCACAACAATCCATGTTTGCGTTTCGTCTGTGTCTTCCATTCACGGATTAACTGTGTTCGGTTCTGTTCGGCTCGTGCCCCCTTGTGTCTAAATCAGAATCATCAGAATGAATGCTTGTTAGCATCCGTGTTTGTTTTGTTGTTGTTTTTAACAGTTTCTCTCTTAAACTACATTATAACTCATTTGGGTTAATGTTACATACAAATAACATGAGATCAATGTGGTTTTATTTGGCTCTTCTATGTTAAAGTAGGGACTTGGAACATTTCCATAATAATGATTCAAAACAGCCCAAAGTTAAAATATTCCAGTCATCTGATAACAGGCACTGTCCACTCTGCACCACTGGCTTGGTGACAACCCTCCGAGGGACGGTTATTATGGTACTACCCATGACTGGACACAATATCTTAACAAGGACAGATTTATATGTAATCGTGCATCAGTCAGCAGCTGGTCTGAAAGCTGGTTTATCCTCTGTGCTGTTAAACAAATTAAACCTTGTGTACATTTTTCTTTTCCAGACCTTCATCGAGGCGCCTTCCTGTCAGCGTGGATGCAGAATATCAGCGTCTCTCACTGCCCCCTAGTGGAAACAAGGGGAAAATACCTGTGACGGTCCTGACCGTAAAATGAAAGGCAAGAAATATATCACGTGAGCTGGTGACTAATTATAAATATTCATTATTCTGCAGTTTAAAGGTTGTTCAACGACCTGAGCAAACTAAGAAACTCATGACGATGTGTTGACCTGAAGCGCCTTCATTAAAAGCCTGTGTGCATGTATTTGCATTGATGTCGTCAGTTTGTGTCACTGTGGCTGAACCAGTTATTAAGTAACAAAACGCGTTACTTCACTTTAGAGCCTTTCAATCTCACTGAAATGTGAAATTAAGTGATTTTATGGAGAGAAGATTTTCTTTGACTGTTGCTAAATTTTGTTTTTTTGTTACTTTATTTGAGCTTTGAATACTAACACCCTTTTTTCTTTTATTTCCATAATGTTGTGAAACATGTGTCTACAGGTGTGTTTATGCTTTATTGGTAGAGCTGTAAGAAAGTCAAACATTAATCATTACCTTGCATCATCATCATTGTTGTTGTTGTTGTTGTTGTTGTTAACCAAGGACGCACTGCTGAGATAAGAGCAGCTTGTTTGGACTGTTTGTAGAACTGGAGTCTAAATGCAGATTATAATTATCTGCTCCTTATCCAGTTCAGCGCAGATTCAGGACTTATCAGTTCAGAGGGACAGCAGCTCGCCCTTTCTTCTAAAATGACCTCGATGTCGCTGTCAGTGTGCTATGCAGTGACAGTTGGTGCTGACATTGTTGTGC